GCGGTTGAATTGGATAGTAGTAGGCTACTGGTAGAAAAATGCCCAGGATTGCGGAATGCCCAGGATTGCGGGCGCACCCAAACCGGGAAGCGGTTTGGGTGGGCAGTAAGGCACTGATAGTATATAACTTCGATGAATGCGGCTTCTAACCTGGTTAAGGGCGATCGAGAAAGGTGCTTAGTTCTAAATCATCTTACCCTGATCTAGCCGAAACTGAGCGAGGCGAAACTATCACCGCGGTCGAGTGTACTAGTGCAGATAGTTAGCTTATAGATCCGCTCTTTATATTTAAAAGTAGCAGGAAAAACTTTATGGAGGCCTAGTTCTACGGTAGCGAAAACCTACTACACGAAACTACTACTGCACTCTTACTAAACGGCTAGATTTCTGATGAATTAGCCCTTTACTAGCTAGATGAATTTATTATTCAGACGGCTTATCGTATAAAGCGAAGCGAAAAGCGCTATCTTATATTCGATGGCTATGGTGCACACCTTACCCTCGAATTTCTTACAAGATACGAAGAGTATAACGTTATCCTATTCGGTTTCCTACCTCATTCAACACATCTTTGCCAGCCACTTGACGGCAAGCCCTTCTTGAATTATAAGCAGCAATTTCGGCTTATAAATAATGAGCTATCCTTCTAGGGTGGCCGACCGTATGGGAAATCGGAATTCTTGCAGATTATCGAACTAATTCGCAAGAAGGCTTTTACCCAACGAATTATTCGCGAATCGTTCAAGGATCGTGGTATTTGGCCGGTTGATAGTAGTAAGATTATTGAAAATCTTGCTAGTTAACTAGTAATTCCTGATCTTTATGCACCAGAACTCCGGTCGGCTACATATACACTATCACCACTACTAAATATCTCTTCTTCTAGTGTGGAAAATAGCCCTCCAAATACTATTCAAGTACTCGAGAAGAATCAGGCGAAGATAATTAAGCATCTCGATTCTCTCTCGCAGAAAGCGCAGCGAGATCTTACCAAAATCTTCACACACCAGCGGGAGAAGCTTGAAGAGCTCGCTATAACCCACGATACAATTCAGCGAATTAGAGCCGCGCAAGCACCTCAACGTCGTCAATATACTAAGCGGCAGGTTAAACCGCTTAGCCAGACTGGTATATTAAAGCCTCGCGATGCGAATCGGTCAATTCGCGATAGAAAGGCAAAAGATGCGGCCGCGGAGGAGAGGAAGCTAGCTAAGCAGTTTGAAAAGGTGTATGGCTATAAACCTACACAGAGGTCGAAAGAGAGTATTGAACAGGCAATGGCCAATGAGATAGAAGCCAGAGAGAGGGGAGAGCCTTTTTTTGTTGATAAATAGCTAATTGGGTGGTTAATTCGAAGATTTCTTAGAAAAGAGACGAGGAATTGAAATAGACGAGGATTAGGGGCGCACCCAAAACGGGTAGCGGTTTGGGTGGGCAGAAAGGCACGGATACATCATTACGCCTAGTAGTAATAAATATATGTCTAAAGAAAAAGCGGGGTATGCCAGAAAAACTGGGGATAAGGTCACTGCATAACTCACCTTGCCACTGGCTAGCACCAAGGGGACACCGAAACTTAATTTCCCCGCACGGTTCATTGGTAGTGAGACTGGGGATCTGCAAATCCCCCACGACAGCTTTGTCTGATCTTCTCCTGTGGTGTTCCATTTTCCTTGCAGGCTCTACAACCTATCTTCTTCTAAATTCGAGATCGCATGTTGCTCGCCTCGTTCTTCTCTAGGTCGAGAAGAATAGAATAGAAATACCCCTTTGAGAACAAGGAAAAACGTCCATCACTCCGCATGCCCAAGGAAAGAAGTCGCAAGGAAGGCTCCAAGCGTGACAAGTACACGTCACAAGCATGGTCAGTGCCTTCATTCTCTTCACTTACCATGCTGACGCGTAAACTAACCATCTAGCTTTGAATGCCAACGACGAAAAGTCAAGGTTAGTTTCGTATCATTTGATGTTTCTTATCTTGTTTGCAACTTGACGTCACTAATACTCAAAAAGTGTTCAGGGGAGCCCATATGTTCCAGCTGTCGAACCAGAAGCATCCAGTGCCACTACGCCGGGGGAAACCAACAAGAAGTACTGATGCAGAAAAAGCGCACCAGAGGGGAGTGAGGATCACCTTTACCCTCGGTCTTCCAAATCAGACAGCTGATGATATCCAGATACCCTACAGAGACATCCCATAAACCTTGTCCGCGGAAAAGAAGCAGAACGTCCATTTCCTTGAAAGAGCAACTTTCACAACTCCAAGATCAAGTGAATGCTCTTTCTAAAAATCGAAGCTTCAGCGTGACAGATAAAGATGTGGCCGACGCACTGTTTTTTAATATGAGTGTTTCTGAATCGGATCAATCTCTCAAACGGAGGTCCCCGTCTATGTCCAATATCTCGGACAACGATATCTTTGAAAATCGCTCGGTCGGCAGTTTCCGATCCTATCAAGATATCCCCAGTCCTTTGAAGGAGCCCATGGAATCTGATACTCTTGGTGTTGCAACTCCATCGCTCAACAGCCTGCCGATCGGTTCCCAGCTGAATGCTCTGAGACAATTACGGCAGCCTAGCGCTACAGGTGACCCCAGCGACCCTTCCCAATCCGGGTTGGCCACAGTGACTTTGCAAGAACCGCAAGTTCTCTGGGAACTCGTCAACGTCTTTTTCCAAGAATTTGAATCCTATTTTCCATGTCTTAACCAGGCCGTCATATATGAGCGATTGTCAATGGTTCTTTCCTTGCACGGATATGAGCATGGAAACCATCGAATTATGATGGGTCCTGAACATTGCAAGATCATCGCCATTCTGTTGAACATGCTAGCCTATGCTGAGTCGCTCACCCATCCTATTGAATCTTGCAAGCCCCGGCCAGTTTCGCAGAGTTACGTACAGGGGCTAAAACTGATGCAATATTTCAACAAACTTCACGAATGTGACCTTGAAACTGTCATCTATCACACTACTTCGTCCGCCTTTCTTCTGGAGATGTCGATGCACCACATGGCCCTCCAGAGCATCACACAAGGGTTCCAGATTGCGTTGAAAATCGGACTCAACAACCAAACCCTGTGGCCAAATGATGATTCTGATCTTGTATCTCGCCAGGGACTGTGGTGGACACTATACTTCCTTGACAAACGCATCACGCAGAAATGCGGCATCACGTATTTTCTACGTGAGGATGAGAGCGCTGTGAGCGATTTTAGCAAGCTCAAGAATCATATGGGTTCAAGCAAATACGAAATTTTACAGAGCTTGATCTCATTCAGCCGCTTGTGGGCTCACATTTGGGATGGCTTCTTTTCACCCCAAGCTCCGAAGGTTGATGATTGGGAGGAATCACAGATGATGGACACACGGATTGTTCTTTCATACCGGCAAATACCGGCAAACCTTCACTGGAAATCGTCTATGGTCGCAGAGTATATGTGCGTCGAAGGAGATACACACATTCGCCAGAGACTTATTGTATTTTTGGTAAGAAGCTTAAGTCCTAGAACCACGTTTCACTCAAGCATGGCCACGCTGACTTATTCTATAGCGGTTCCAATCCCTTCGTTTGACTATTCGCCATAAACCTCTCACGTCTACTGAACATGATATCGAGCGTCGCAAAACATCGGTTTCAATTTGTGAAGCAATCATCGAAGCAATTCGAAGCTATATGACTATGGCCACTTCTTTGAAGCCATCTGGGTATATTCTGACCACCTCACTGGTCGAGATACTGTACCATATCCTTCCAGAAGAGTGTGATCCAAAGCCTATAATTCCAGGTGAACTTCTGAAGGGGATGGTGTGCGCTGCCAGTCAACTTCTTCAAACGCTATCAAATTCTGTCGCGACGGCATCCAAGGTATATCAATATTTACGGGATCTTTTACCACCCTACGATAGGTTCAGACCCTTTGACGAGTTTACTGCATCTCCACCGAGCCAGAATGAAGCAAATCAAAAAGCTCCCTTTCACTGCTCTGCGGATTTGGACACACTCTCTGAGACATTTTGGAGAACAATTGTGGATCGACCAGGACAAGAGAAGAGTCCAGCTGCAACCCACCCAGAGCCCAGTAATCCGAACTTCCTGCCCTTTTCCATGGCAATGTCCGAAAATTTTGCGACCGACTGCTTGCCATTCAAAATGGATGATTTACAGTGTCAACTTCTGATGGGCATGGACCTGGAAGATATGGCGTTCAAAGCCCCACATGCACTTTCTGTGGACTATTCTACCACTCACTTTGGGGGAGATCTTTTGTAATATGTAAATGATTCCTTGATTGGATACACCTGGGCACGACCTTCAAGTTGAATATGGAAGCTCGTTTGCACCTTCCATTTCTTTCGTTCCGCATATTCAACATGCTAGCTTAGTCTGCGATTAGCTATTATGGAAATTGTAAGCATTATTTTCAATGTTATCTATCATTCATAGTTTCTTCCAATCAAAATTATCAAATAGAATATTACCTATACAGTGGCGCGGGGCCAAAGACTTGCGGCGCCACGTAGCTACCACTGGTGCCAAGTGCCGATGCGGAAATGGATCAAAACCTGGGGTAATGCCGATAAATGCAAAAGTTTATTTCTTGGTTCCGCGGAAGACGTTTTGCGTATGTACCCAAACGGAAGGAGCAACTCTCAGCACTATGTCTAGATACTTCAGGGTGCATGACATACCAAATGAACACCAATGACATCCAGCTGTGGATACACTGGTCAATACGCGGTATTTACAGCGTAACTATCTGAAACGCTGAAGACCCCACAATCTTTAGGACGATGTGCTAGGTTAATTTGAAGTTAGCGCGACCACAGTGCTGTGCAGTCTTTTTTCTGCATAATGTCAAAATAGTATGACATGACGGCCAGTATCTTGATATATTATATGTCAAATATCTCCCACTTTATCTTCTTGTCTTGTTGTAATGCCATTCCAGCCGATCTATTCCTTCTGACCAGAAAGAATATTTTCGTGCAAGCCCAAGATGCTCCTTCAATCCGCCTCAAGCTTTATTCATGAGCACTACATTTCAGCCACTCTCACTTCGGTACGTTTGACTTCCTATTGCAATAGATGGTTCCTACTGACCGGGCCTGGTTAGACTCTGCTTGTTTTGCTCTCACAGGTCTATTATGAAGTCTTCATCAACCCCCTTGGCAAGTATCCGGGGCCAAAGTTCGCAGCTGCATCGCGCATACCTCAACTCTATCACACTTTTAAAGGCGACTTGCTTCAGTGGGTCACTGGACTGCATGTCACCTACGGTGATGTGGTTCGTGTCGCTCCGGATGAGTTAAGCTACGCCACTGGAGAGGCATGGAAGGGAATATATGGCCATGCGGCTGCAGGAAAAAAAGTTACTGAGAAAGACACTCGGTTTTATGGTCCATCCTTCAATGGAGCTCCGGATATTATCCGGGCGAAAGGACCTGATCACTCTCGTTTTCGTCGCAACTTCTCGCATGCCTTTTCTGACCGGTCGCTTCGGGAACAGCAGTCCTTGATCTGCGGATACGTGGATATGTTAGTTGACAATCTCAAACGCACAATCAAGGAGAATCCCAAGGCAAAGGTTAATATGGTTCACATGTTTAATCTGACAACTTTTGATATCATGGGAGATTTGACCTTCGGTGACTCCTTGGATCTATTGCTTGGGACCGGCAACATGAATTGGGTGGCCGCGGTATTCATCAGCATGAAGACCAACGCCTTGCGCAGACTGGCGCGCTACTGGCCTTGGACGGCTTCGATCGCCCAAAGGCTCATTCCTCAAGAGCTTAGGCAACAGAGTGTCGCCCATTACCAAGCCTCCCAGGGCCGTGTGGATAAGAGAGTTGATGGTGATTATGCATTGCAAAAACCTGACATCTGGGGTATTGTGATGAACCAGAAGCAAGAGCTCCGTCTTAGCCGTACGGAGATGTACGCCAACTCACAGGTCTTCATGGTTGCAGGCACCGAGACCACTGCGACTGCACTAAGCGGCTTGCTCTATCAACTCTTGATGAATCCTGAAAAGATGGAGATCATTGTGAAGGAAGTCCGTGAGACTTTCGAGAAAGACTCCGATATTGAGATGAGAGCCCTGGAACACATGGAATATCTTAATGCCTGCATTGAAGAAGGGTTGCGCATCTATCCTCCGGTTCCAGTTGGCCTACCTCGCATTGCTCCTGATGATGGATTGCTTGTCTGCGGGGAGCACATCCCTGGAAAGGTATTTTTTTTATCCATCGCACACATTCAACAATCAATTTTTAACTTTCAGATGATTAATAGACCGCACTTTCCGTTAATCAATGGGCTACCTATCACAGCCCCAAAAACTTCAAGCGGCCTGATGATTTCATCCCTGAACGCTGGATTAGCGATGATTTTGCTACCGATAACAAGGCTGCATTCCAGCCATTCTCGTTTGGCCCTCGCAACTGTCTTGGGAAGAAGTATGTTCTTTCTCTGCTCTTTTAAAAATAATTTACTAATGATCAAATAGTCTGGCATACCACGAACTGCGTGTGATTCTGGCGAAGGTGCTGTATAACTTTGAGTTTTCTCTTCTCCCCGAGTCTATTGGCTGGGAGAAACAGAAAACTTTCTTTCTGTGGGAAAAGAATGATTTGATGGTTCAGCTGAAGGCGAGAAGCTAGGAAGAGGATGGCAGTCTAGAAGAAACTTAGGACTGGAGGCTGTGCTAGTTTGTATTGAGCTAGAGATTTGAATCGAAGGGACCACTGGAGCAACTTCAAAGTACTCGTTATCCAATAACGTACCTTGTAATACAAAGCGGCACCATTAGCTGTATGATAAAGCCACAAACACGGACGCTCCGTGGGGCTGTACACCAAAGAAACCAGCATCGCCGCCTAAGCAGGAGTGAGTTGTCACTGCAGGGATTAGGGGCGGGACTATTGCCAAACAGGTTAGTTGATTCCGTGTACTTTCCGTGCAGAGTGCACAACTTTTGTTCCGGGCTAGTTCCTTCCGTCATTGTTCCGATTAATTATGCGTACTCAATCCGGCAATTATGCCCTCCGGGCCGGAATAAATTTTGTATCATTGCTTAGGATCTATATATGAAGGGGAGTAAATTTGCCAAATTAAACATCACCTTGAAAGAAAATTGTGATTTCAATTACTTGTGTTCCACATACCCCAGCAATTATGTCATTGAACGTGGTGCCTCTTCCTATTGATGAGGCTAATTTGAAGGCTCGCCTTGAGTTTTTGGACAAGTTTGAAGCACAGCTCGCAGGAAGTGTTCAATGGCAAGAATGCGAGTCTCCGGCTGCTTACCGGAAAATGCGCCGAGAGGGCCTGAATGGGTTCACAGCGCCTGCTCTCAACCCTAAAGCAAGGCTTGTGAATATTTCTGGAAGAGACGGCTATCAAATTGAATTGAGAATAATTGCACCCACTGAGCAATCGTGCAAAGGTGTCTGGCTGCATTTCCACGCCGGTGAGTAACACAGACTACCAACATAAGCCGATCCTTCAAGCATCAACTGATAAGAATTTGACAGGTGGCTTTGTTATCGGTAGCAATGCATCATACGATACCTACTTGACCACATTGTCTAATCGCTTGGGTCTGACTATGATCTCCGTCGAATACCGACTGGCACCTGAAAACCCTTTCCCCAAGCCTCTGCACGATTGCGTCGACGCGGCTCTATACGCACTCAGCGCAGCCGGCGAGAAAGAACTCGGTGCGCCACTGAAGGTTCTCGGTGGTGAATCGGCCGGTGGCTGGCTCGCGGTTTCAACTGGTCTCGCTCTCCGCCGGGACCATGGAGTCGACGTCCGATCGAAGTTGGATGCAATCGTGGCTGGATACGGAATCTTCGACTTTACCTACACGCCATCTCTTTTGAGTCACACTAGGAATATCGTACTGAGTAAGGAAGGTATGATGGACTTTTGCGAGGCAGGCTTCAGCCACATTCCAATGGCGCAGAGGAAGGATCCGCTTGTTTCACCTCTGTATGCGGATTTGGAGGAAATGCCAGCCGCACTGTTCTTGACGGGCAAAATTGAGCCACTGCTTGATGATAGTGTCTTCATGGCGGCCAAGTGGCAGCAAGCTGGAAATGTGACCGAGTTGAGTGTGGTTGATGGGGCATGCCATGCCTTCACTATTATTCCGATGGGAGATGCGACCGAGCAGGGGTTGGACATTATTGTTAAATTTGTGCAGAAGAGCTCCAGTAAATAATTCGGATTAGATAGAGATACTTTTTTTAGAATACATAGCTCTCCAAATTTATAACATTCACTTGCGGAAGGCTACCTACCTTGGTATATTTCTTTTCAGCTGCTTCGGATCCTCGCTGTGTCAGCTATTCAAATGCCTTCATGGTCTAACCGGCCCCTTTCGTAAATTAGCATTTATTTCGGACCCTCGCAAAGGGGCCGGTTTGTGGTTATGACGTCGGTCTCATATCGTGAGCATCGCACCTTGACGGTCCTGATAACAGGATTGCCATCCGAAGGTCGCCAGTTCGATCCTGGCTGAGGGCAAATATTTTTGAATGACACCTGGGCAGCTGCGTGGGGATTGCCTTCAATAGAAACAACATGAAGAAACCAAGTATCGGAGGACATCGCTGGTACTTAAAAATGGTTTTCCTTTTTTTGTTCTTCCCATTCTGTGAAATAAAGAATTCGATACAAGAGATAAAGTGGCTAGAAATATAGAGAATTGTCAATTTATATAGCTTCTAGATAGTGCGTATTATAGCGTTAACTACTGGAATCCGCCATCGGCATTCAGAACCTGTATTCGGAAATGAAGTCAGTATTGTGGTAGGAATAAGGCAAGACGGAGAGTGAAAGACTTACACTTCCTGTGACGAAGCTAGAACTATCGCTCAGCAAGAACAGAATGCATTGGGCGATTTCTTCGGGCTGGGCAAGTCGTTGCAGCGCGGATCTCGAAACCATTCTCTGGAAAACCAGGTCGGGGGAACCAAGAGCAGTAGCAAGAGGTGTATCGACAACACCACTATACTCATTAGCATCTATATTCACAAAGGGGGACTTTTTTACTCACGGAGCCACGGCGTTGACTCTAACGTTCTTAGGTCCCGCTTCCTGAGCAGCCGACTTAGTCAAGGAAATAACACCCCACTTAGCTGCTCCATATGGAGCATTCCATGGAGAGCCTCGCTGGCCTGCAATACTCGCGACGTTGACAATACTTCCACCGTCGGCAATATGTCTAAGCTCCGCTGACAAACTGTTCCGAATACCGTTCAGATTGATTGACATCATCTTATCCCACTCCTCGTCCTTGATTACATCCAGTGCATACCCCTTTCCTGTGAAACCCTGAGTTCCAATCCATCCGGCGAGATTGGCTGCACCGTCAATCTTGCCATAGTGCTCCTTGGTTGCTTTCACGGCGGCCTCGATTCCGGCAGAGTTGACAACATCAACTTTGAATGCGATGGCTTCACCGCCAACCTTTTCAATCTCATCGATGACTTCTTGGGGGTCGTTAAGATCCAACAGGGCAAGTTTCGCACCTTGACGAGCGAGGAGAATAGAGGTAGCGCGGCCCTGCCCGGAGGCAGCGCCCGTAACGAAGAAGACTTTGTTCTTAAGATCGGCGTAGGACATTTTGCTTGCAAGGTACTGCGACTCAATAGAAACGGAAAGAATCAAACTTGTGTGATAATGATTTATTGATTCAGATTTTCCCTGGTCTTAAGTAGCACCTACTTTCTCGGTTGAAGCCGAAATACGGGTGGTATCCGACAACTGTTTCGCTCGGAATGAAATCAGTATACCGTATTTTCTAAGCCAGTTACGGATACACTGGATAAATTGTGAAATTCCGGACCATTTGGATGTAAAGTTTCCTTGTTCGTTGGGACCAGGTGGTTCCCGCCGCCTTCGGAACAGCTGCGGATGACCTCAGTTCCGTTATGCTTCAATTCCGGCTCACCTCGCAACCTTACCTCACCCACCATCAAGGTAGAATCGTCATGGGATGGCTTTCCCGGTATCACACTATTCCTTTAGAACAGAATGCATCAGTCCTCGCGGAATACATGGGAGCCTTTCAACATGAGATTACTTTAACCATAAGTACCTTATTTACCAACCCTTTCACTTCAAACCGACCGTTCAAATTACCCAGCAACATCTTCACTCACCTTACCAACACATCAATATTCCCGGCTCGATTTTGAATATGGTTCAATCTGTCGAGGCCAATGGTGCCGGTGGAGAGGCACCACTCAAGCCTATCGAAGCCACCGAAGCATACCGCAACAAATACACAGTTGCCTATGAACAATCCAAGCTTCCCTTCGATACTCCTCGACATGTGAAGGTCATTCTTGCCGGGGCGGGTATCAGTGGAATTTCTTTCGCTCATGCTGTGGAAAGCGGCCAATTGCCCAATGTCGATCTCCAGATCCTTGAAAAGAATGCTGGGTTGGGAGGAACGTGGCTCGAGAATCGCTACCCCGGATGTGCCTGCGACATTCCCTCCCACAACTACTTGGTATGTTCAATCTACAACTATTCGCGATATTTCGTTCCTGTATACTGATACTGTCTAGTTTACATGGGCCCCTAACCCCAAATGGTCCTCATTTTACGTCTCGGCACCTGAAATTCTTGACTATATCGAGAATGTGGTCGATAAGTTTGGTTTGAAGAAATATGTTACGACTTGTCGCAAGGTCACCGGGGCTGTCTGGGACGAGCAGAAACAAAAGTGGATCGTCACCAGCAAGAACACAGATGGCCGTCGCACTGTTGTTTCTGCCAAGGGTGTTTCCGATGGAGAGGTTGGCGATGACATTGTTGAGGAATGCGACGTTTTCATCAATGCCAGCGGGTACTTGAACAACTGGAGATGGCCCAATGTTGCCGGTCGCGAGAACTACCAGGGCATCCTCGCTCACAGCGCCAACTACGATCCTGAGATTGATCTTCGCGGCAAGAGGGTCGCTGTTATTGGTAACGGAAGTAGTGGAATCCAAGTCACTGCAGCTGTTCAGAAAGTCGCCAGTCATGTCGGGGCGTACATCCGATCCCCAACATGGGTGACAGCCAACCTCGGCTCTAGATTCATCGGACAAGGTGTACCCAACCTGACCTACGACGAGGAGCAGCAGAAGAAGTGGATCGAGAACCCAGAAGAATACCTCACTCTTCGCAAAGAAATCGAGAAGGAACTGAACTTCCGATTCCCCTTGTATATCCGAGAGAGCGAGTTCCAGGAAATGGCTCGCAACTTCACTACCAAGGATATGCGCTCCAAGCTAGAGAAGAAGCCTGAAGTTGCTGATCGCATTATTCCTTCTTTCGGCGTTGGATGTCGCCGACCGACTCCCGGACCAGGCTATCTCCAAGCGCTCGCTGCTGATAACTGTGAGGTTGTCTGGGGAGAAATCGACTCCTTTACCAAGACTGGCCTGAAGTCCCACGATGGCACGGAGCGTGACTTTGATGTCATTATCGCTGCTACTGGATTCGACATGTCCTTCATCCCTCGTTGGCCCGTCATCGGACGAAACGGCGTAAACCTCCAAACGCAATGGGAGAAAGACCCAGCCTGCTACATGTCAGCGATCGCGCAGGACATGCCAAACTATTTCATCTACATGGGACCCGGCAGCCCAGTCGGCCACGGCAGTATGATCACCTCCATTGAACGCATCACTCTGTACCTGGTGGACATGATCAAAAAGTTGCAGCGGGAGAACTACTCCTCGTTCCGTTTGAAGGACGGAAAGGCCAAGGCCTACCAGTTCCAGATGTTGTCGTGGTTGGACAAGACGGTTTGGGGTGACTCTTGCCAGAGCTCATTCAAGAATGGCGAGGCGAGTGGTGCATTGCATGCTTTCCATCCTGGTTCTCGGTTGCACTACTTTGAACTGCTTCGTCGCCATCGCTATGAGGACTTTGAGTGGGAGAGTCGATGCCCCGAACCGAAGTTGGACTTCGCTTGGCTCAACAATGGGTTCCTGTCGCATGAGTTGTCGCCAGAGGAGGAAGCTGATCCTACGTATGTTGTCCCGTCCCTTCAGTGCTATAACGAAGCTAATAATATGAACACAGGTGGTACCTTGATCAAGACCCTGCTACTCTCACGAAATTTGTCAATGGAAACTAGATTATTCTTTCGGAAGCGGCTGTGGTAAATTTTGTGTGCCTCGGTGATAAATTGAATTTAAGCAAATAGATTGATCGAAGTAAATTACGAAATATGGACAGACTATTCCAAATTAAAACTGAATTCAGAAGGACACACCAATCCATTAGGGCGAAGCCAGCAAGGATAAGCATAGCATGTAAGCACGCTAGAAGGAGCTGAGCTGAGCTTCAAAAGGCTAGCACGCCGTGGGGTCATGGTTATCAATAATTGACAGGCCTTTGTTAATAGACGCGCTCAATATGACAAATTTCGTGCTTTTGCGGAGATCGCGCAAGATCGAGACAAAGAAAGGTTGGGCTAATTTGGACAGAGAGATGAGGTGGCATGATTGATGGCGTGGGGCCGCGTCTGCTCAGCTTAGAGCGCTAAGCCCCAGAACGGTTGTTTGATTTTCCCTGCCGTCCTCTTAATATAGAGAATCTGAGATTCCAAATGTTATTATTGCCGAAAAAAATTATAGTGGTCTTCTGACTCGTACCGAGACCTTTTCTAATCAGACTGTTTGATACCGGTTATTGTGGAGCGGTGTCAAGGCAAGTCAGGACGTTGCGCCATAGCGGACCATGGAAACGATCTGGCACCCGGGGGCAGGTGAGACATGCTATACTAGGCGAGGTGCCAAGTGGGGAGTGGGTATTAACTGGAGATTGAAGAAGAGGAAGAGTTGATGCCAAACTACAGGTGTCCTATGGTCACCTAGAGGAAGCAAGAGTAAACAAATCGAGGATCTGGACCGTTTCAGTGCCGTCTGGTTTCCGTGGCATATTTCGAACTTGTTTCCAATGCGCTCGACCTGCGGTTTTTCGGAGACTATTTGACCAGGTTATTCGAACGTAGGAGTAATTGTTTGGGTATATGCGGATAGCAGATCTTACGTTCCCGTTTGTCCCACTCAATATGGCGAAAATTGCATGACGTTTAAACCCCTAAAAGATCTTTAGCTAAGTAGTAGGTGACCGTAGAAGGGTATGTAAATTTTCATAGAGAAATCTGCAATGTGACTAGTAAAAACGAAAGGAAATTCGTAGTTCCATCTAGGAAATACACTATATCACATTTGCTTCCGTAGGTCACCTAAATCTGGCCAATGTATCGGGGAAAATGAAGAATGCTCCTAGGAGCATCAAATCTAAGATAAGGCAAATTGTCTAATTAAACAATATTCACTACGTACATCCTGCTTGCAAAGGGAAAGATCGCCAAATCAGTGGCAAACTTACGACGCCAACTCTTTGTTGGTGGGATAGGAGTTGTAATCTGAAAGGAAAAAAGTTGCACAGGAATCGAGCTAGCGTGTCGCGTTTTATTGAGCCCGCTTACTCAGGTCACTTCCGCTCTGGATGAGCTTAGTAAGCAAGCCGGGATGCTCAGGTCAGGCTCAGTGAGTGGATCAGTTTGATTACGGAATGATCACTGACCAGCTCAGGTCGCTCAGGGGTGTGCTCAATTCTACTCAGTGAGCAAAAGCGGCGAGAGGGTGAGCACTAGAACGGAAGGAGACCGCCAAGCGTTGCCAGACATTATCCGGTATATATGCAAGTCATAACGTAATTCACAAGCGAACCGCTCACAAGCGAGCCGCTCACCCCACCTGAAATCGCTCATTCCTACCTACCCGCCTAATTCAACCAACTACTATGCCACCAATTCGCACTGAATCTTCGCAAAAATCGGCCAATAAAGAGGGCAGGATTCTATTAGCCCTATCCGATATCAAAAATTGTCGTATCAAATCTCTTCGCGCAGCAGTGAAGCTATATGATATCCCCTACTCTACTTTGCGCGAACGCGCTCATGGGGTGATATCACGCGTCGATACACGCCCAAATTCGCATAAATTGACTCAATTAGAAGAGGATTCGCTTGTTGAATGGATCTTCTCTATGGATACGCGTGGTGCAGTGCCTAGGCGTGCTACTGTACGAGAAATGGCCGATATTCTTCTTACAGCGCGTAGAATCACCCCTCCGCCGACTGTTAGTATTAATTAGGTATCAAATTTTATTAAACGACGTGATAAGCTTCGAACACGCTTCTCTAGGCGATATAACTACCAGCGCGCTCTCAACGAGGATCTAAAGGTTATAAAAGAGTAGTTTTTGATAGTACAACGCGCGATCGAGGAGAACGGTATCCAACCGGAGGATATCTACAACTTTGATAAGACCGGATTCGCAATAGGCCTTATATCAGCGTAGAAGGTAGTTACGAGAGCAGAATACTACGGTCGGCGATTAATTCTACAGCTAGGAAATCGCGAATAGGTTACTACGATCGAAGCGATATACGCTAATAGCTATTCGCTACTGCTATATATCATATTCAAGGGCCAGGTTTATATTGCTAGTTAGTTTGAATCAAATCTCCCTAGCGATTAGCGGATCGAAGTATCGAATAATGGCTAGACTACCGATGATATTAGCCTACGCTAGCTACAAAAGATCTTTATTCTATACACTGCTTCGCGCGTACGAGGGCGATTTCGTCTATTAATCCTCGACGGGTATAGTAGCCACCTTACACCACAATTCGATCGAATCTGCGCTAAAAACGATATTATGCCACTCTGTATGCCTTCATACTCATCGTATCTACTATAACCGCTTAATATTAGGTGTTTCGCTGTTCTAAAGCGTGCGTACGGTCGCTTCGTGAGCGATTTAGCCCGAACTGGCTATAATCATATCGACAAGCTTGATTTTCTAGCAGATTATCCTCGCGCACGGCTAGAAGCTTTCTAGCCGAATATCGTTCAAAGCAGCTTCGCAGCTACTAGTATCGTGCCAGTTAATGCCGATAGAGTGCTTTCTAAGCTTAATATCTCTCTCCGAACGCCTTCACCACCATCAAGCCGACCAAGCAGCAGATCTAGCCAATTCACACCAAAGACGCCTAGAACAGCGATTCAGCTAGCAAAGCAGGCTAAAATGATAAAAGATCTAATAGATCGGCGATCAAAAAGCCCTCCAAGCCCGTTGAAATTAGTGGTTGATCAGATTCTTAAGGGCCACTATAAATCATTACACCACACTGCATTATTAGTGAAGGAGAACGCTGATCTACGCGCAGCGAATGAAAAGAAACGTTAAAAGCGCACGAAATCGACTAGGCAGATAGCTCATGAGGGTGGCCTATCGATTGAAGAGGGCCTACAGCTAGTTCAGCAGCAAATTCAGCCAGTTCAAGCTGATAAGGTAGTATCGCATGAGCAGGGCGAATTACCTACTCAGCAGGATCAGCCACGCAGGAGGGCTCCGCCTACCTGTAGTGGATGCGGGCAGATTGGGCATAGGATTAATCAATGTAAAAATCGCTAGTTTAGTACTAATTAATACATTTCTGTTGATATATTCGCCTTGAAAAAATCGTAATGGGGGAAGGTGAGCGGCTCGCTTGTGTGAGCGGTTCGCTTGTGAATTACGTTACTATTCCATACATCTTAGCGCGCGGCGTTTACCTCGGCATTAGCGTAGGGTAGCTCTCCGCAGACCAGCCCCCCGGCTGCATGAGGCTGAAAACAGGAGTATAAGGAAACCCTTCAGCCTTCCGCTCAACAGATGACCCAAACCATCCCTAATAATAATCATAATCATAATCATAATCATAGTCACTCAGCCATCCCAAAGTGAGTCAGAGTAAACAGCCCTGACCTTCTTTCCCACATGCCCTTGCGCCTCCTTTCAGCCTTGACTCAGACTGTGCCAGCCGTACGCTGCGAAAAAGATGTGCAAGGGGACAGCAAGTCCGCAGCTGACCCTTGGAACAGCCAAACCTTCGAAACACGAATCGATCGGCTGATTCCGCTTTGTTTGGGTTTCCTTGTTTTGAGTGGATTTCCCTTCCTTTTCATCTTTTCCTTTTGTTCTCCTACTCCTGCTTTCTTATTTTCTTCTTGTCTTCCTCATTTTCTCCCTTGAAACGCTTTTCACGCAGTCATCCACTGCATTCGTCCGGCCACCCCCCGAGATCATGCTCATGCGAACGGTCGGCCCCGCTCGCCTCAACCCCGCGCGATGAGCTCCTCCCTCGAGGCTAAGATTGTCGTGCTCGGCGCTCAAGGTAATACACCTCTTCAAAGTCCTCATCTGGTGTATCGACCCGCCTCCCTTCACGGTATATACTAACACCCTCCCTCGACTATAGGCGTCGGCAAAACCTCCCTCGTCCAGCGCTACGTCCGCAACGCCTTCGACCCCTCCACCACCACCTCCACCGTCGGCGCGTCCTTCGTCACAAAGCGCGTCCTCGACACAACATCCGACACCACCGTCCGCCTGCAAATCTGGGACACCGCCGGCCAGGAGCGCTTTCGCTCCATATCCCGCCTGTACTACCGCGGCGCCCACGCCTGCCTCCTCTGCTATGACATCACCGACGAAAACAGTTTCCAGGAGATGGCCGGCTGGCTGCGCGAGCTTAGACGGAACGTCGGCGGAGGCGGGACCGAAGGCGATACCGATCCGCTGGTGATTCACGTCGTTGGGACAAAGAGCGATATCGTCGCGCTGGATCCGGCCAAGAGGCGTGTCCCGTTTGAACGGACCATCGCGTATGTCGCCGAGCAGTTGTATCCCAGTCGTGCCTCGACGCCGCCGCCCACCGCGGGCATGGGACTGGGGTTCGGGACTGTAGTTTTCGGTGGAACTGGGACGAGTGGTGCGTCTGGTGCCAGTGCGGCGGCGGTTAGTCCCGGCGTGGTGCAGAGCCCGGATAGTAAACGGAGTTCTGCGTTTTGGGGCCAGGAGATTGGGTGGGATTGTTGTCATGAGATTAGTGCCAAGGATGGGGAGGGGATTGATGAGGTTTTCCGGGTTATTACGCGGAAGTTGGTTGAGCAGCGGAATCGGCGTGATGCTGAGTTCACTTTGTCGGCGGTTGGGACGCCTGGGATTGATGTGCCCATCGGTCCGTTCACGCCTGGTGGGTTGGATGGAAATGGCAGTTTTAGACTGGGATATGGGGATAAGAGACGCAGTTGGTTAGGATTGGCGACGCCGACTGTGGGGGAGGCGGAGGAAGTGCAAGTTATGGATACTGCGAAGAAACGTGGACGGTGTTGTTGATTTTGGCTTTATCTTACTTGGTTTGGCTGGATTTCTTTCTTTGTTCTGTGCTCATATACCGCGATGATATCTCCGGGGGTGGCTTGCATTTAAAGACTGGCGTTTTACGTTTGGTGTTGGATTTGTTGGCCTTTTGATCTCTTCATACAGACTTCTTTTGCTATGCGCTTGAATATCGTATCTTATTTCAAGTTTAGTCTTATCCTATTTCCTTCCAGTGTGTCCGTGAATGTTAGTACGTATCTCTGCGGACGCCAGGGGTTTACTTTTATCCTGTTGCACTGCTAAGCCAGTGATCAATATGGCATGTCCAACTCCATGAGTACAAGGCTCTATTATGAATCTAAATCAGTTCTTTGCTTGAGGTTAATAGTCTGATTGAAAGCGTTGCGCATTACCGTCGTAGGGACAGAATTATATCGTTTCGTGGAACTTACCACCATCTAAAATTCCCCATTGTGCCCCTAAATAATTAGAAATCCGTGTATATGTACGTCAGGGGTACATCACCAGACCCGAGGCTGATGTATGCCACCTTGAAGAAAATTGCCCGAGACAAGTCAGAATCATGCGGCTTCGATCTGCCGGATGACGCGTATCATGAGGATCGACCGGGTTTGATGTTTGAAGGGCTAGTCCCGCAGAGTACTATGACCTAGACCCAGGCGGTGCCTGTCAGTTGCTTATTAAGTCACCATCATTGCATTAAAAGGTTAGAGGACAGAATTTAAAAGGCCGTTGGTCAAGACTAGCCGATGTGTGCAGTATGAGGGTGCCTGGTTGACCCAGTGCCCGGGTTGGTGTCGGTAGTCTCGAGGACTGGTGTCGATCATCAAACAAGCATATATCGGCTCCAGTGGGAGAATCCTGCAGATTATCCATCACAGGCTCGATCATGCACTTTAAAATTGTGAAAAAAAACTGTCAATAGCCTATAACAACATTCCCATACTTCCCATGATGTCACTGGTCCCACGTGAATCCATCCGAGTGGATCTCCGGGGTAAACAGCCCTGACACTCGCCACCCTCCATTCTCCGCTGCCAACCAAATTGGCTTTCGACCCTGCATCCGTGCAGTTGCACCCGGGTGCAAAGCAAATGCATCCAAATATCTTTCCGATGTCCGACCATCCAACACACTGCAGCAGACTCCTAGTCTGCACTGCCCTCGCGCAGGGGCTTCCAGTCCGGTCATTGGAGGATGCAAGGTCTCTCCACTTTCATCTCCTTCCGAGACTGCGCATTGGATAATGTCCGTGATGAGACTCAGCCTCACTTGTTAGTCTCTTGGTATCGCAACCCCCTCTCGTGTGCTGGTGCTGGTCCTTTTGGAAAGAGTACTTTACCGAGTACGGAATACTTCGGACAGAGTACGCGGTTTGGACCAATGTACTCGGTACTTTCGTCCACTATGCCTGCGTCACTGGTCTCTGCAGTACCGCTGCCAAGGTCCGCGATACGTCTATCCGACGACTCGGAACTCGCCTGTTCGCCAATCTACTTGGCCACCATTCAGTCCCCCTCTGCAGAAATGCTGGTAAGCGCGCCTGGGCTGCCAGCCCCAGTGCTCCCGGCTGTTCGCCTTTCTTTTCCTTTCGCAGACCGACTAGACTAGGACGACCCCAGCGCTGGTCTGTGCTGCTGCTGTTGATGAAAGCTCGCTGTGGCTGGCCACTACAGACACTTGATACTGTGCTGTGTAAATTAGGGCGGTCGGTGATAACCCCGGTCCTCTTGCTGTCTGGCTTTCTGGGCATTCTCTTTTATCCCTGATCATCGATCTCTTGTCCTTGTCCAAGCCTTGTGTTTTCCCTTGGTATTCTTTTCGTTGGCAACTGTGATTCATCCTAGCTATTTCTTGTTATCGGCTGTTTGTCGAACTACACCTCTTATCTCCGACTGTCGACTCGTGTGACAGACACCCTCTCTTGTTGCTGCCAAGTCCACCTCTGGTCAAAGGCAATCGTCATGTCCGGGGCGGAGGTGATCGCCGTCGTCGCCTGCGTGGCAGCAGGTAAGTCATTTCCAGGCCTCCCCAAATGGCTGCCGTGACTCTTCCGGGCTAGAGCTAACAGCGATCAACTCAAACTAGTCGTCTCCGCCTACCACGATGGCCACCAGCTCTTAAATGCTATCAAAAAGAAATGGAAGGAGCATCGTCAATCCAAAGCCCTCGCCAACGCGGCAACCACCAACGATCTCGAGTGGTCGCTGCGGCGTGGCCGAGAAGACATTGTGACGCAGTGGAATTCTCATGCCGGCCAACTAGGCCGCCGCTTCGAAGATGGCGACCCGCTGGCCCGAGAGCAGATGAAGGATATTGTGATCGAGCTCCAGCGCGCACTCCTCACCAACTTGCGGGAAAATAATGCTCACCTCGATCTCCTTGCCTTGCTCCAAGCTTCTGATCGCGGTCGGAAGGATACCATCCTAGTCTTTCACAACTTGTACCAGCGGCTCGCCCAGGCTGCCTCCATTCCGGCGGCCATTGATTTCGGCCCCATTCCGTTTGATCCAACCTCAAGGCTATGGTACTGGATGAATCTGATTGAGAATCAGTACTTGGCTCAAGTCCCATCCTCTCGGTACATCCAGAGTTTACCATCTTCTCCTGGGGGGAGGGTCTTGCCGGCAGCATCGTCGGGGTCACCGGCTGATATGATTAGTTTCCTTCGCCAGATGGAGGAGCAAGCGTCTCCATCGCAATCCAGGCGGTCTTCCAAGACTTCCCTCGGCAGTCTCTTTTCGAGTCGACGGCGGTCCTCGGTCGAGGCTTATAGCCAGCGGGTCGATTCTGGTTCTCGCTTGGGAAGTTTCGGGTCTGGCTCGGGTCTTTCACCGATGCCCGAAATGCCTGATCACTATACGATTGTTGATCGGCCGAGGGAAGGCTCTCCTGGCTCGCTCGGTGCATATGCAGCTGACATGCAGGAATACCTCGAGCAAGATCGAACCACCGCTGCTCGGTTGCAACAGACCCTCCAGCAGGAACAGGGGCGGAACGAGACCCAAGCGTATACCCCGGAAGATCGCTCTCCTCCCACTCATCAGCACGAGAGTGCACCCTCAAATTCGATCCAACACAAGATGGACTATGATGACCTCACTCGTGAAATGACTGCGAATCCGTGGAGTGTGGATGCAGGGCCGGAACCGGTAGACACGCACTGGAATCGGACTTCGAGCCCTGAGTCCATCACAGAACCTGCTGTCCTTGAGCCAGCACATCGAACAAATATAATTGATACCAGACACCTGTTGGGTATGGATGCACCCTGGGCAGACCAGTCGAGTCCTCTGCCCATCCCTGAACGACGTAGACCAGCGATGACGGATACCGGTCTTGCATCCAGTGGCTTCACTCCCCAGCTTCAAACCGAAGAGACCATCCGACAAGACCACTACACAAACCTCCGCTACCACCATCCAACCCCTCCCCAACCTCGTCCAACCCCACAACCTAATCTTCCACGACGAACCAACTCCCGCGATGCCCCAATCCCAGTCACCACAGACACATCACCCCCCGATCCGCACCCCCATCTCCCACACCCGACACACACCCTCCATCGCCTCCACCAACTCCACCACCTCATCAACATCCTCCAACCCCTCCACCTCAACCCGCCCCTTCTGGCCCCCGAGCAACGCCAACGACTACGCTGGCTTCTGCAAAGGCGCCTGGAAACTCCACTCCGGCCTCGGCGGCTTCAAAGTCCACTCCGAACCCAAAGGCTACTACACCATGGAATCCAAGTGGCGCTGCGCAACCTGTTTCTTTGAAATGCCCCTCGCCCCAGACTCGGACCGCCACGACCCCAAGCATAACACGAAACTATTCGTCCACGCCCCCACGGGCATCCAGTTCCGCTGGGCGTTTCTCGCAAAGAGTCATGTGAGATGTAAACGCCGGCCTGGCGGGGCGCCGAAGTTGGCGAGTGGTCCGTTTGGGTGTATTTTTTGTTGTCGGGAGCGCAGGGTGTCGGCGCCGGTTTTTCAGGGGTTGGATGAGTTTATGGGGCATATTGGGGGGATGCATCGGGATTGTGTGGAGGGGATGTTGTTGGAGAGGGCTTGTTGTGTTGTTGGGAGGGTTGCCGGGGCGGAGGAGGTTTTTGATGTTAATATTCCGCCGGAGAGCTCACAGCTGGCTGGTGATGAGGTTGGCGTTGGCGTTGGCGTTGGGGGTTAATTATTATTTTAATTGGTTGCGATGCGGTGACGTCTTGGTTGTCCGGGCCCTTTTGTTGTTGTTTGAGATATCCTGGGTTCATCATTGGGTGGGGCGTTTATGGTTTACCTTTATATATAGGATGGAGTCAACATCCATCCCAACCTGTCTAGACATATCATACCATGGATGGCCCATGGAGGAAGACACTATATTGCAACGATCAATTTGCCTCTAGTTTGCACACTGCCGTACCAGTTTGGTCCCGCTGGTTCCATAATGTATACTCCGTATAATCCGGTGACGGTGAATTACGCAAAAGGGTTTAGCGTGCCGATTCGGGTTTAGCGCCTCCCTGCGCGTTACGACCGCCGTGCGTGTTTCTATAAAGTCCCCTTCATCGCCGCTTCAACTTTTAGCTGTTTTTCGCCCTTCTTCTCTTCCTTTCTCTCCGTTCCTTGTGTGCGCCTTGCGGGTGAGGCATTTTTGCCATTGATCCGGATCACCGAGCTCCGCCACCCCCTATACCGCCAGCGCGAACCGGCCAGCCCTTTGCAGCCCTTCGAGCCCGCCAGCGTAGTCTGCGCTGCTTTTCCTGGCCCTGGCCCCATTTTCCGCTCAACTCTCACCGTTACGCTCGGGATGAGGCATTTTTGAACTTGGTCCGCCGCGCCGACCTGCAGTTCCGGCCCCTAACATGTCTTATCGGTCGGTCCGTTGTCGAACTTACGCGCATCCAGGCGTATTCACCTACACTCTTTCTAGACAATCGCCCGTTTGTAGCGGGGCTTCAAATCTGCTTTGGGGGCGTAAATCGAGGGCGACGGCGTTGGCAGCTATAGCTAATAGCGTCCGTATCATTCTAGAACCGAGGAAGACTAGGATCGAACTGGTCAGCGTATATAAATGACTAGACTGTCTTAGCCGCTATACGCGTTAGCTAGTGACTGCGAAGTCTGCGAGAGTTGACGAGATGATCGTAGTAACGCTTTATCCTTTCACGATGATCGTAAGGCTTCACGGCGACCATATCGAAACTCAGGAACAGGAACGATCTCTGAAGCTAAAGTCCTCGCTAGGCGACCTCGTCAGACCGTATACAAACATCCATTTCCGTCGACCTACGCAGTTTTTCCTGTCGTCACCTACATACTGGAGCTCCGCCAGCCCCTGCCACCGAGTGCGCCTTGTCGCCGAACTCCCGTTGACTTTATGATCGATTGGCGGAGAGGATGAGATGGGCGGTTAGGAAAAACAAGGTTTCATGCGGACAGGAGACGACGATGAAGCTGTTGTCTCCATGTCGGTGCATCCTGCGCGTTTTGTCTTCGGTCCTGGGCTACGGAACGACTAGCAAGCAGAGCTCCGTGACAACCGGATGCAGACGATGCGCAGACATGAGGTTCCCCAGAAATAGCAACAGCGCTTTGCAATGTGGCTATTGGATCAAGCGGATGAGTGGGCAAGTCATTCGTGCGGCAATACCCTGCACGCTGCATCAGTCACAGAATCGATTGGCAAACAAGTCTCGTCTGGATGCCATCCTGCCGGAGCTTTTGCCCTCTGAGCTGGAAACTTCTCCGAGCGAGTCCGCCTTAGCTTGGGTGTTGGACAAGGTGTGACCGGCCTGATAAAAAGGTATAAAGCCGTATATCTCGCACGCCGTCCTCGTGGAAAAGCAGTTAAGAATCCAACTTAGTCTTTTTATTTTATCCAAGTGCTCAGTTTTCCCGAAATTATCCAATACGTCGTATTTATCTCTATCTCTTCTACTATTTCAAGTCGACATGACCTCTTTCACAGGGAAAGTACACGAAACCTTCGGTAAGAGATCTTCTAAATACACAATTGATTTCACTAATCTGATATAGCGAAGATTCAATCCCCACTGGCCCTTGTGGATAGCCTGAAGTGGTCGTACGCGACTCCATTATTTTCCCCGAGTTAGGCACGCAGGCTAATCCTATAGTGATCGGAGGTGGTCTTGCTCCGTTGGGCTCGGCTTCTAATCCTATCGTGATCTATATTGACGAGGATTAGTATTATGATAAGATAGACCGGTGTGATTCCGATGCCGACACTGTGATTATGGCTACACCGGAATTCTAGGAGGCTTTGATTGATGAAAGCTTCTCTGTCCTAGCAGACGAGCGTGGAGCTGTTAGTTCGTCCTCTGTCCGTGCACTAACTAGGTCGCCAGCCTAGGAGGATCTAGAAGACCTTTATTACTTCGGGCAATCATCCGCGAATAGTTTTTGCGTTGATGATATAGCACTGAAAATGGCCGATAATTCTTTTAACGGGCTGCAGAATTGCTCTAGCCCTGAGGCTATAAGGCGCGAGAACATTGCAAATGGCCGAGCGAGTAAGTTGGCGGACGACTTTTTACGGCTATTATATTAACGATTTTTAGATAGCGAGAAAAGCACGGAGAGAGGCAAGGTTTCTTAGGCTAACGAACCTAGTGAGGTTCATGAAAGTTCTTCGATAACTAGCGACGCTAGAACTCAGGAAACAACAGGCCTAACTAGTACTTCCGATGTAAACGACCTACCGTGTGGCCCCAATGCTGCGGGATCGACGAAGCACAAATTACTGCATGCCGAAGGCGTCTCTTCTGAACTTAGACGATCGGAGCGACTGGCCAAAAGAGCTCGAACTTGATAGCGATGATTGCTCTTCTTCATGTATTCACTCTTTGCACTTCAGTAATAGTAGATACGAACACAGGTGTATTATTTCAGGGACCTAGCATTAACCAACCAGCAAGGCGCTGAAAGCATGTATCCAGGCTTAGTAAAATATCGAAACGCTACAGGGTATATAGGTGGATACTCGGAAAGGAGAATATATAGTAGTCCGAAGTCCTCGCGTAATACGGAGGATTTAGTCATAAGCTAGACCCTATACAAGCTTATAGCAATTCAGACCTGTTGTATTTCTATTGGTTGACCCGTGCGATTAACTTCTCTGTGTTCCGTCATAAAATCACCGTGATTCGTTTGCCGTTTCTAGTTTAGCGCGCCAATACTCTAGGTGGTGGTCGTCTACTCTGGGTCTAGTGCCCCTAAAAATGGTCTAGTTTCCTATGATGACTCTGTCGCCGCCTTAGCTTTGGTATAAATCGAGTTTGGGTTCGCTCCTAGAAGCCCTCTAACTCGTCCTCTATCTCCTAGCCCCTTAACTCTTGGCTGAGATGACGCACTTGCTGTATCTGTAGTGCTGCACCCTTTGAAAGGAAGTGTATTGCTGGAAACATAGGTCCCCTTCGTAGGGCTTGTGCAGCAACTGAGCTGCAACACTCACAATGACAACTCGAATTAGTATACCGAACTCCGTTTGGGGTCAGGACCAAGACTTGAGTGTGTTAGACTGGACTTGACGAACACCGCCGACCTTGCAATCTCTTTCAAGAGTTTCGAGAAACAACGAGAGTGATGCGGCCATTCGGATCTATCTCGGATGAGCACTGCGGCCGAGATAGTCAGCCTTCTATTTTAAGGACCGTCCGCATTCCGGACATCTACGTCGCCTCGCCTCTCCTACCAAGTGCGTCTTGTCGTCTCATGCTCTGTTGGCTTCCTGATCGATTGGCATAGAGGAGAGGTTGGGACGGATGGGAAACCATGTTTTACTCCTGTAGCAACGGCGTCTTGCGGACCGGAGATGAGAACGGTGGGAGTGTTTCGTTTGCTCTGTTTGACGATAGAACGATTGGCAGGCAGAGCTTAATTGACCCGGTGGTGTATACTGGGCGCAGACGATACGCAGTCGTGCGCTAGGATTAGCAACCGTGCTTTGCGGCGTGGCTACTAGATGAAGTGGACGAGTGAGCCAGTCATTCATGCGAGTCAATCGCGGGCTGACGTCTAATTCCTCGAATGGCCTCCGAATCTGAAAGGCCGTAACGCGACGTCGTCTGATCGCGTGCAAACAGTCGATTTCTCCTCGACCTACGTCAAATTTAGTGCTACAGTTCGCACTCTGCGTGTCTATACAGTTCGACCTAGTCGCCAACTTTGCCTTGTTACCAAATCCTCGTTGGCTTCACTATCGATCAGCGAAGAGGACAGGATAGACGGATAGGAAACAGGCTATACTCCTATAGCACCGGCATTATGCGGACTGGAGGTGCTGTCGGGCTATTACCTCTACGTTAGTCCGTCCTGTACGTTTCGTCTTCTCTCCTAGGCCCTCGAACGACTGGCAAGCAGGGCTTAGCCAACCCGCTAGCGATAATATAGCGCAGTCCTAAAATAGCGTATAGACAGGCAGGGTAGCTAAATCACTTCTGTAGTAGTCCTCTATACTGCCTACCGATATGGGTATAATTGGCAGACAGGTATCGTCTGGCTGTAATCCTGCTAGGGCTTTTGCTGTCCGAGATTAAGACTTCTTTATACGTATCTGTCTCGGCCTGCTTGTTGAACAAGGTGTACTCGGTCCGACGAGTGGTATCGACCTAAATATAGATATACACTATCGTCTTATCGGGGTAGCGCATAAAACGCTATAGCCTAGTCTTATTCTATTACGGGCTGATATCTAATCGTGCAAAGCCGCCTAGAATATTACTATAGCGTTAGTGTCTAGGTACTTCCCGGAGCTGACTCAGTCGATGCTGGGTTACAAATATATAAAGGGCCTCTTTTCCCCGACTAGCACTAGCTTCTAGTTCTCTATTTACTTTTACTTCCTATCTTGCGAGGTAATACCGGCTTTCTTCCCCCCCCTAGTATAGCGACTAATAGCACTATAGCGAGCCCGATCATTATCGTCGATAACGATGAAATACAGAGCCCTAAGCTACGTATTTCACGACTTAGAAGAGGCCCTAGGCGGGATTATAGATACCTAGATTATAAGAGGGTGCTCGCTAAATCAATCGATGATACGACTGGCTCGATATCATCACGGAAAAGAAGAAGAACAGAAATGAAGGAGCGGTCTACTTTAGTACGAGCTCCTCGTAGTACTTCCTTCTTCCGTAGCTAATAAAGCACTAGGATAACGCTTTTAAAAAACTTCGAACCGTATTTAACAGTAAAATCACGATGTTATTAAGAGAGAAACCGAATACTCTAGGACGAACTTCGTCTAAAGAGGAACGAGCAGCAAAAAGGAAAAGAGGTACTTATATAACTAAGGGAAAAGCTACGGTACAAGATCTACTACGAGCACCTAGATCGTTAGGCAACGCTTATATATAGATATATGTTTTGCTTATTATATACAGAGAACCTAGAGAACCCTAAGACGCTAAAGAAATGTCCTCTTTATAGGGCACCTGTTAAAGGTTTTCTCCTATACTACCTATTTACAGGATAAAGCGCAGCTACGCTATCATATTGATAAATCATGCTATTTTATATATTATTTCAAGCTTCGTTATTTGTATGTATATATTTGTCCGTTCTAGGCTCGGGCGATCGGAGCGACTGACTAAAAGAGTTCGAACTTGACGGCAACCGTTACTGCGTATATTCATTCTTTGCGACCTACTGATAGCAAATACGGACGTTAGAGTACTCTTTCGGGAATCCAAAGTAAGAGGGTAATAGTATTACGTTTATTCGTTTTAGCATCTAAACCTAAGCTTTCTAGCAAGAACAAAGTTACTAGTACTGCCCTATATAATGAATCATATAGCCGATGAATTGATTAGTTTAAATAATGTGCGATGAGGTTTAGTGAGAGTTACCTGACCTGTTAGCTGATTTCCCGGACCCGGAAAGTCTAACTTTTAGCTTCTTCTGAGATTAGACCATTCCCTCGTTTTCTCTTAGACCTAAACCTATAACTCTTCGGGTTAGTTTTGCCCGTTTTAGTTTAGCGCCCCTCTGTTGCCATAACTTAAAGACTTTCTCGTCCTCGTTATTTTTGTTTCTATCCTTCTCTTGTTCGATTTCGGGTTTTCGGATCCTACCAGGAATAGCTTCTGGTCGACAGGTTGATCTATAGATATAGTAGATTATTATTGATTAGTGGCGATGCTAGCGTTGTTTGAGAAGTTTGCAAGACGCTTCGACCTCGACCTTAGCTTGGAAGGCACCACCAACCTCCTTTCTTTGTCTCTAGTTTCTCGCCGCAAAGCCTCCCTTCGGGAACATCTCCAACATATTAACGACCATTTAGAACCAAGATTTCGCCGTTTTATCAATTTTGCGATATCATCTGTATTATCTCCTTCTCTTCAAAGTACCTTCCCTCTTTAAAATTCGTCTCGCAAATCGTGAGAAGACAGAGAATATTAAATGCTATCAAGGCTCGGTCAATAGGAAGCATCCTCTAGATACAGCGGACGATACATACCCAACGTCAATCACGGAAGCCCTAGGTGCTATAAACATCGAAAAAGATGAACCGGTTCCGTACGAGCCTCCTCTCGGCGAAATCTTGGCCGAAGGCTCAACTTCCCGTATTGCACGCGTAGCACCAGGAGTCATTATTAAATGTCCACGATTCTTATAGTGGCATTCTAAGACAGCAGCTGATAAATAGTTCGTTCGAGATATAAAGCGGAGTTTTGAGGTAGAAGAACGACTTCTGCAAATCCTAGGACTGTATCTAAGAATAATAGAGTCCGTTAGCCCCTAACTTCTTGTGATTAGCGATTGACTTCTTCTAGGTTTAAGGGCGTCTTAGAAGACCCATTCGGATTGTTATTCGCCGAAGTAAGCGATAGAAATCTACAGAACTACATTAATTAGCACTAAACTAGTATCGATATATCTATCCGATTCAAGTGGCGCACGCAAGCCGTAGAGGCGATCTAATTCATTCATCAAAAAGGTATGATACACTCTAATCTCCGACCTGAGAACTTTCTGTTACACACTGTCGCCGGGAATATGCTCGATCTTCTGCTCTGTGACTTTAGGGGGTTAATAAATAGAGAAATAGATAGTCGGCACCTCCCCGACGCCGGATTTTTTAATCCTTATAATCCGCCCGAATCGACGAAAAGCACGGATATTTTCAGCCTCGGGTCTATCTACTATATAATAATGACTGGTCATTAGCCGTACAGGTCTCCAGGTCTATTCAAGTCCCTCGAGGAGATGGAAAAATATGAAGAATTAGTTGAAGACCTGTTTGCCTCCAAAAGTTACCCGCCTGTTGATGGACTGGCAGCTAGGTCCGTGATATAACGATGCTGGACAGGAGAATACTCTGATTTACAAGTACTTATTGAAGACTAGCGTTAGCAGTTTGAGACTCAATTACATTGAGAGAGAATAACGCAATTTCGATGTACTCATTAAATATACGGTTATACCGGACCTAATACAGTGCTAACTGCAAGAGTGTGTCATTTAACGGCCCTTTAATGTTCCTTCGAGATGATCCCCCGGCCCTCTATATACAGCTACTACGGACAACCTCCTCGTAAACTGCTCTGCCATTGCAAGCTCAAATTTCGATGCTGTTCGTGGAGCTGATTGACTATGGGTTCGGGCAGTCATATTTCTCGTATTTCCCCCTCTCTCTATATTAGGCCAGTAGGTTGGGAATACGACTAGGGCACTTAGAGGTGCTAATATCCTTACAAGGCACGAAGTTTATGTCTTCTTGGAGCCTGCAACCGTATATATAAATCTTGGTCGCAACGTTGACTTAGCATATTCTAAACTGGAACCGTGAGCGATCGGTTGATCAATTACTACTTGAACAACCTATATTAGTGATTTTGAATTATGAGTTTAGGGGCTCCTAAAGATAGAATAATAGTATGCGATGCTGCTTCTGGTGGTCTATAGATGTGGACTATAGAGATGGGAAGTTCAACAGGTTTTTATAGCCTAAAAGACCGATATTATGATAAGATCACTTAGCGGTTAACTTCTTATTGTACTAGCTTTAGCGGCACGTACAATACCGGAAGTCCAACAAAAGTGATAAAGAGGGGAACCCTGCCACTCGGGGCTATTAATAAGGCCTGAGCGTGGCTCAACACACCGGATTAGGAGGAGCTCAGGGCCTAGATCATTCACTGCTAAAGCTACTCCGATAATGTGTTAAGAGCATCAATCCTCTAGTCTGAAGTGTCCGTCACGGAAGATAACCTAGGGGGAAGTAGCTTAGTCTGGCGTCTGAACCATGCTTTCTTTTCTAAGCTTGGTATACACACGTGCTTGAAGGATAGCTGCGAATAGGAATGTGACGGGGGAAGGGCAATACTACTCCGTATTCATTCTCGATTCGCCAGGATTAAGTGTCTATGCACAGTGCCTTCTGGTGATAGGGCCTATAGCCTGCATACAGCCTATGCAGCCTATGCAGCCCATGCAGCCCATATCTACTATGACTTGTTTATTCCCCTAGCGGCAAATCACTGGATAAGAAGGACTCTTGCAAAACGCTAGGCAGCCACCCCGCTTCATAGGACGCAACTTACTTAGTAATGAAAGCTAGGGCGAGGCTAACACGAACGGCCAGGCTTGTGTTAATTCGTCCTAAGCGCTCACACGGGCCGTTCCTCAGTGCTATCTCGAACCACTTATATCGAGTCGGTAATAAACGTTGTCAGCGTTGAATCTACAACGAGTAGAACCCTGAGAGGATCTGGGCGGCCTAGTATCAGCCTTGGAAACCTGCAAGCCGTACAGTAGACCGGCCTAGCCTTATCTACTTGTGTGGCTGGTCTTTTGTTATCTGGTACGTCGCGCCTAGGGGCAGACCCATAAATGGTTATGGCAGAACAATTTGTGGGGCTCATTTATAAGCAATCGCCTAGAAGCACTCACAGGTAGTCGTTCATCGCACATCCACCATAGATATATTATCTGCTTTGAATGTTTTACGGAAGGCCCCAGACGACGCTTTGAAATACCATGCTGCGGAGGCAATCTTAACGCTCAAGGAGGTTGGCGAACGACTACAAGCCAGCTTTCTTCCTAGCACACTTCGTGACAGTGCCTCTGAAGGCAGCGCTTCTTCATCCTTTTCTAATTCCATCGAGAGCGCTCTATCGCGCCTATACGAGTTAGACGCCGATTCCTTATCCTCTCCTGGACATTTAAACGCCCGTGAATCATTATCTTGTGGCAGGTACACAAGAGCACCAGGCAGCATATCTGTGTGCGATGTCAGGGCTCCCGCTCTATCTGATATCGTTCCTCCACCCGAAGAGGCGCTCCGGAATCACAGTCGGAAAACTTCTAACGATATAGTGTCTAAACTTGGGGACGCTATTTTGAGAACGATCCCTTGGATTTAGGAAATAAGCAGCAAAAACCGCAACCTTGTTAACTCGTGTAAGCGGAAACAGAGTGAAGACCGTAGGCTTAAAGACATAAGACGCATCGAAGGAGACTTAGAATCAAATGAACATAAGATCTTGAGACTTCTAGCTATCAGATTACTTACCTCGGAGTTCAGGGCGGAGCAGTCGCGCGATAAATCACGTACAAAAGTTAATAAGTTAGTCGCCTTCGTTCATTCTGTCGAAGCTGGAAATAATAAGGGTCAAAACGAAGATCAACCCGACTCTCTGCCCAAAGGTCGTAGGAGCGACGTCTCAGACTTTGTTAGACGCTTTTCTCATATATCTACGGCGCTAAAGCTCGCAAATCGAGCCATAAACAATAGCATTAAGCATTTAGTATTTGAAGAGGTCCTGAGGCATAGGCTCCGGAAACATCGTTTACTAGATATATATAAGGCGGTATCTGCTGTCCTGGGGCTGAGTATAAACAACTTCAAAAACTTGCCCTACAGGCGGATGCTAGACCTCATAGATGTTCTGTTATTAGATAAGATGAAGATATCTCTGCAGAGCAACAATAAACCGGAAGACAAACGTCTGGTTTTGGAAATCATATACGGTATAAATTCGTGGTTCACGAGGCTACAGACCGAATATAATAGTGAGAAATGAAGATTTAAGTGCTTCATGATTTCCCTAACACCTTCTAGATATTACTTCGCGAGCGTTTATACCTAAGCCTGAACCACAATATGCAAAGCGATCCCGATATACTCACGGATCTGTTGATTCACGGTACCTACCTATATTTCAGTTAGATACCGACGACGCTCATCTAATAACGACTGAGCTTGACATAACGGGTAGGAATGATACGGAATCTCTTACGGAGCCTCAATCCCAAGGTTCGAATGAGATTCCTGTGCTTAACACGCGGCCGTCTCTAAATGTTGAATTCATGCCCTTCGAGAATTTCAATCCCTTCCGAGACTTTGATTATCTTTGACTTTAACCCTTTCCAAGACCTTAATCCTCTCCCCGACTTTGGCCTTGTGTTTCCTTATGTACCCCTAGACGAAATTCCTAAAACCGCTAAAAACGTCCCCGACCGTATCAGTGCAACGCGGGTAGTGCCTACTACTCCTAGACAGGACAGCTAAGTTAATAGTCAAGAAAAAGGTGGCATAGCAGGTCTCTCCTCTTCGTCTATATTAATTCCTCAGACTGTTTACTGAAATAGCCTTCAGAATATATTAATACAATCTAATCCTCCACTTAGTATTATGTGTTATCATAGATCATTCTTCTCCGCCTCAAACGCGACGAAAATAACATCAATCCCTGTACCAGAGAGCGTCGGTGTGTTCTCGATATAGCAACACGTGTCAGGCGGTAGTTCGCTACCTAGGGGGGAGAGCGTTGAAGTTCTATTAATTGGAATAATTAATAATCGTTTCGTAGGATAATTCGGGTTCTAGATAATCGCTCCTCGAGAGAAGAGTCGCACAGTGCAGCCGACCACCTAGACGACGGAGTTAATTAGCAGTTTGAAATATAAAGGATAGAGGCGCACTTATATGAAAGCCCTAGGATTGGAGCTCCGCTTGTATCGATTCGTGAAGCAGATCGACCGATTTCGTGAAATCATCTCCCTCATACCGCTACCCACTCGTACTTTTATTCGAATACTTTGTCACTCCCCTTGCGATAAGATCGCGTATAGTATCGACGATAGCCTTCGAATTTTCTGAAATAGGTTCGAGACGCATTTTGAGTAAAGACCCCGACAGGGTCTAGTTACTATCTATCGATACTTAAGATAATATGAGAGCGGGGGAGGGAAGGTAGGGTGATCCTGAAATACAGGCGTGCCCAAAGCCAGAGGAGGATCACTACGTGACCCAAATATAACTAAGCCTACCGCTAGTAATATACCAAGTTAGTACCCCGGTTAACACGTGATCAGTCTTCCTAGGATAATTATAGAATCTAATTAGGATAGGAATAGTTGAGTAATTGACTAACTACGAAGCGGGAATTGCTGGTCATGTCTCGGATCATCTAGTCTCTGCTATATCGCCTCCTTTCAACTTCTTAGTGAACTATAATTGTCAAATTCTTCCCTATATAATAATGTACTTATTGAAACTGTTTCAGCGAGACGCTGAAAAATACATAAAATGTATTGCATTTCTTATTTATCGTAGGAGGATCTTAAAGTAACATAGTGAAAATCGTCGAGCACTTAACTATCTTTTATTGCAATCCTGTCCGTATCTATTAGGCACGGGTTAATTTCAACTGACTAATTCGCCCTCGCCTACATACTACGCGCCAGTTTTCCAGATAGTACTATCAGCTAGCTCCTACCCAATATACTTCGGTCTTATACCAATCGGCAACTTGCGTAAATACCTTCAAATCCACAATCAAGAAATTCAGAGCCAAATTCAGAAACAGTAGATGCGTGAAGATTCTTCAAATGCTATAAGTATACTATTAGTCTCCTAGCCGTCTCAAGCGCATTATCGCACCAAGTCTTGAGCAGAGGCCAAGCTATCATATTAGATCGACTTCCACCGAGGCTCCATTGAAATTATCTAGTCACCACCTCACAATAGCTCCTAGATTTTTCGAGCAGTTGAAGACCTAAAATCAGGTAGAACAAGTCGGAATAGGCGCGGTGAAGTTCATTTCCTTTCAGCAAAAGTACGCTATTGGAACTGCCGGTCTTGGAGCTTGCTCCGCTATGGTTATAGCTTCGACGTACGGTGCAATACTCGGTTATATACCACCACTTCCTTTGGCAACCCCAGACCCTCATGCGGGCGATATCAACGCTCGGCTTATGATGGCACAGATCAAGAATCTCTACGATAACAATCGGAATTTCTTTCCCTTAGCGACAACTACGAGGGTCGTCTGTGCCTGGTATATGGGAGGTGTGGTATTGCCCAGTTAAGTGGCTATTATGCAAAGTTCTCTTTACTCAATGGGCCTTACTCCGATTATGAAATATTATCTAGTACCTGTGAATCCGAACATTCCTGGCCAGGGAACAGTCGTTGTTACGGTTAGGCCAGTGGTATATCATGACGATATACGAATTTAAAACCCCGAATACGTCTTCAAGCTCGAGTTTAAGCAATTTACAGTCATCCGACGGTGACTAGCACTAGTTCGAGATGAAGAGCCAAGTTAGGGAGTATAGGGCTAATTGTGTGTGTTTATTTCGCTAGTTTTTTATTGTACGGCTAGTCAGCCGTGGTAAATGTTCCACGTTAATAATATTGTCAAATATTTCATGACAGTAACTCTTTATCCGCGTTTGCGTATAGACCTCTATAGGAGTTATATTCGATCTTTCCCGGTCATCCTGGTCTTGCATGTGTATAGCGTCAAGAGCTCTGGCACTAAAAACCGCCCTCGTATTTCTATTTCTAGATGTATATGAGCTATATATTAAGTAAGAAGAGTTGAGATTTAACATGCGTTTAACAAAGTCGAAGTTCCTGCTAAATCGCACTAACCCCACCTTCGTTGGCTGGAACCATGCAACAATAGCGCGTGACTTGTCACTTCCGCCCTGGGCAGGTTAGTATTTAAACATCTGTTTCGCCCTAGCTAAACGAAAGTTTTTTTCAACCCTAACGAAAATAGCAGGCTTTCTTCAATCTCTATGGATATTCGGCCACCTTCACGGGAAAACCTCGTTAGCTACGGTGGGTTTCTCTCTCCACGTCAGACGCCAACAGAAACAATTAAAAATCTGCGTTCGTTATGCATTAATAGTGATCTGCAAAATTTCCAGGAGACGATGGACATGCTACTCGCTAATTCTAAATCTGAAGGTTTTGTCATAGAGGAGCTCGGTGAGGTGATGATTGAAGCAATTAAACGAGACAGCGCAGGATTTGTTTCTAAGCTTCTCTTCTATGGTTTTCCGAAACAGCCTTGCTACGCTTTAGAGGCAACACTGTATAAGGCGAAGGGCGTACTTAGATGTTATCTCGAAGTAGGATAGGATATTAATAAGCCAGTCGGTGAAATTCGACCCCCTATACTTAGGTAGGTCAATTCAGCTATTTGGACAGAAAATTCAATGACGAAGACCAATTATTACAGCTACGCAGTCGAAGATAAAGAGATGACTATCTGGCTTCTTGATCATGGAGCAGACCCGAATAAACGATGCGAGATAGACTATACCGCTCTGTCTTATGCTGTTCAACTTATACCTATTTGTATTATCTAACTGATATTGAGCCGTGGAGGTAATATGCGAAAGGGAATGCTTCTTTAGTATACGATGTTCCGGACCACTGAACTTAATAACGTCATATCTCTGCTCGTGGATAAAGGCGCCCCTTTAAACGCCGCAATACATCAAGATAGCCCTACTCTGATGCGATTCTGGCCTATAACCCTAGGGACTCCTTTGCATGTAGCAGTGGAGCTAGGGAAAACGGATGCAATTCGTCTTTTGATCGATCTCGGAGCAGACAGTAGCGTCAAGGACTCGTAGGGCCGCACCGTTATGGAGTTAGCACAGCAGCTAAATCAGACGGAAGTTGTGAGGCTTTTAGAAGATAGAGCGTGAAAACATATCTGCAAACGGAGACAGGATGGATTAAATGTGTCCAAGTATTCAGGGTTAAATCCAATATCCAGAAAACCTTCTTTTCTAATTGATAGATCCGATAGTAGGTTAGGCCTTGAGTAAATAAACAACTCTATTAGTAACACAACGAATTTACTTCCAGGTTCATCTCGGCATAACTTATGTCCTTATACACTGGATATTGCGACGCTATCGGAAAGCCCCTCGTCAGTTGCTTCTCTGCCGTCTCGCGCTGCTAGTTCTAGAGCAGCCTTAGTCATTATTACCTCGACTAGACGATTCTCTATTCAGTTGAAAGGTTATAGAGTCAAGAACGCACCCTGAACGAGCGGCCTTTGATACTGATAGTATAATAGAGATCTATAATACTTGCTAGGCATGGTTCATTGAAAGCCCTGTTACACGCAACAGACACGTGTATAAGCTGGATGTTCCGAATATAACTACATTTCTTCACTGGTTTTGTCTATTGGTGATAAAAAACTTGTGATTGTGGTCTCTGTATACCGGGCGGCAACAAGCGATTAAACACTGTACGAACTACATAATAGCCATCATCACAACGAATTATTCTTGGGTCCTATATGATTAACGTATTAGCACTTAAAATAATGCCTTATTCTATGCCCCGTTCTATTTTCACTTAGATCTTAAGCAACTTTTGAATCTACTCGTGAATCGCTTCACTGCCCTACTCTAGTTGCTGCTTCAAGGATGTATTCAGGCTTTATTACCCTTGCCCTACAATCCTTTATCTATTTAGGGAGGGGAGGTCCTTTAACTTATGATCGAACGAGATACTGTTCGTCTCGGGTTCACTCAAGTTGCTAGATACTCAGTTCAGATATACCATAAAAATATAAATATCTTGAAGGGGACAGCAGTGACCGAGCAGTCGTGATGTACGACGAGGAGTTGGAATCTCTTTCTCTTGGCGCCCTCCTGTGGCATACCCTAATTCTCTATATAACTCTTCTATTTTATGTAATTAATTGCCGCTATATTCGAGAGCTCCTGTTATACGTAGGTTTACCTCTACTTGTGCTACTATAATAAAGCTCACTATTGCCAGTGATATAACTCGATGTCCCGTAACCAACCACTCTATCTCCCAGAAATATTACTGTCAACACAAACATATGTACGTCTGAAATGAGCACAGTTTTTCCCCTATCCCGCTTGTCTTAGCAAGACATACCTTAGAATGGCTTGGACAAGCTAGTATGAATTCTTGTCGCTTTTGCCTCGATTGCTAATAAAAGTAAGGGAAATACGGAATGAATTTCAAATTTCTTCTGTTTAGTAAAATTATGAACATAAGAGTGGTCAGTGGAACGACAATGCCAGAGATAGTAGGAGTATTCAGTGGTGAAATATAAGTCATGAAGACGTTATTATAGAGAATAGTCTTATATGATTCTATTTTGTTAGAAGGCATTGCCTTAAATCAATTAATATATATATACCCTCTTCGGTTATCTATGCCTAGAGTTAGGAAAGAAGATATTCTCTTTAACCTAATTTAAACTTATAAAGGAACTATGATATAAGTTACGTCCTGACTCTGCTATTCTTAATTACAATAAATTTATTATCTATTACTCTTAGCTTAATTCTACCCTCGTATGATTCTAAAGCTAGTTATCGAAAGCCTCCTATAAGTTACTTCCCTGCCCTTTCGCTCTAACCACTCCTTCTAAAGTAGGCTTAGTTATTATTTTCCCGACAAGATAAGAGAGAGACAGAAAGAAGTCCTAAATAGGCTTCCTCTAATATTATAACCTCGTATACTCGTACTAAGACTACGATATATAAGATAATAAATCCTAAGACCCTTCCCGACTCGTAGGACTTTTTAATTTACGTTAAATTCCTAACGAGTATCCTCACGAGGCTATATATAAGGGAATCGATAAACCAGCGCAGGTCTCTAGAGATTGGTTATTATAATCGTATAGGACCTAGTGAAGGAAATAGTATTTAGCGAATTGAACCTTATAAGTCGAGTTAATAAATTTATAGTAGATTTCTAGAGACGCTAATAGTATAGATTATAGCGTAAATACAGAAAACTATCCTAACCGTGCGACTTCTCGACGAAGCTAGGTTCGAGAGATATAGTAGGATAGTCCGGATATTAGAGACCTTCTTTATTATATTCTATATTAAATATAATAATAACTCGAATAGCTATATTTATAGAGGTCCCTTTATTTATAGAAAAGCGATATCCGAAGTCTACTTACTGAAACTTTATAATAAGATTAGGGCTGTAAAAGCTCTTCTAGGAGACGAGTAGTATAATTTACGACAGAAATACGGTATTAAAAGAGACGAATATTTGATTCTAAGGCGTGATATAAATCTAGCTTAGAAATAGTGTAAATATTATACCTAGATACAAATTAAAGTTAAATCTATAAATAATACAAAAAGAGAGTAACTAGTAAGCGTATATATAATAAAGTGATGGATTTTAAATAGTGATCATAAAATCCGATTGCACACAAAAGGATATGTGTGTCCGAAACAGGTGAAGAAAGACTATCATGAGAGGAATAGGTATCGGCTAATTAGACCAAAGAAGAGTATGATCAAGTATGCCAATAAATCTACTCATGAATTAAAAGAGATGTCAAACTTGTTCAATTTAGATAGGAAAACAGGCAGAATTTATAACACGAGGTACATAGTAAATATCACATGAAGATATCAAGAATCGTTCGAGGTTATCTTGGAGTGTTGAGTAGTCTCCGGCCAATATAGGCAGTTCAATGCGAGATCGTTGAGGATCGTTGAGGATCAATATAATAAATCAATATGGTGGTCATGAAGGTGTTTCTTCCGGGGAAAAGATGGTGGCGGCTTAGTCATCTGCGGGAGGACCCCACATAAGTTGACATAAAGCAAGACTATATCCTAGTAAATAAGAGTATTAGCGGCGGTATACTAAATTACTAGCAAAAGGATCGATACTACTAAGAATCTACGCTCTCGACTACCGCGCCCTAGGATATTCTCCGAAGAGCTTAGTATCTACTAGGAACTACTACTAATATTCTCTCTTTAACTTCTAGTATAATAAGTATCTTACTTCTATCTATCTAAACCCTTAAAGATTAATACCGTCGATATCGTATATAATATCTAAGTAGACTACCGGCGATAATTAACTTCTTCGGAAGATACGTGATTAAGGCTCTATATAGGCTGAAATTGGCGAGGCTTTAGGACGAAGTAGAAAAGCTTGTTACGTGTACTATCTTAGGTCTAATTCCTTATAATACGTTTCTACGATAATATCTCTAATAGATCTAGGTATAAACCCGATAAAAAACCCA